ATATCAGATTCTATCTGATAATCTGATCGATAGTCAATTGGACTAATCGGTGTATAACAGATATCACCGTCAAGATCAATTGGATCATTAGCCAATAGGCTAGTAGGCAGTAGGTTGCTAGCCGAGGTTTCTTGATGTTCAGCTTCTGCGGGGTAATCTGTCACATGACTAGTGACGTGGATTTCTTCCTCGTCAGATTGCTCATTGAGCATTGCTGTGATCATCTTCTTTTGTTGATTAAATCTTTGATTATTTTGATTGGATCTAGGCCAATTTGCCCTAGGTATCCAATTAGCTGGTCTGCCAGAAGGATGCAGATACCAGCAATCTGCTACTGTATGGCTTCGCATATTACAATGCGTACAGTATTTGCCAGAATTTGACAATTTTTTCCATGGTTTTTTGCTAATTCGACGATTTTGATTAGCCTGACGATTTTTTGAATAGTGCTTTACCTGATGATTAGGCTTGCGATGAGCCTGATATTTGTTCTGTCGATTAGGCTGATGGCTATCAGCTATGAAGATTTGTTCGCTTGATTGAATATGACCACGCGATTCGTCAATCAGATTGGCGAATAACGATTCAATCGTATAAGAATCAGAGTCTCTGCGAAGAGATTGAATAATATTTTGAATAATCGGTGCGTATGATTGGTCAAGATTGTTGAGAACCCATGCGAATACGATTTGCTTTGGGAAATCGATTCCTAGGCTTGCCAGTTCGATTAGCAGGCGTCTTATCTCAGTGAGATAATCATGCATGCTATCGAAATCGCCTAATTGACTATTGAATAGGCTTTTCAACACAAGGAATTCGGTAGTAAAGCCTTTAGGTCGATATTGGGTAGCCAAGGTAACCCATGCTTGGTAGGCCGATGTGGTATCTCCTAACCAAAAGAGTGGGCCATCTTTGCATGATAGCTTGATTGATGATAGAGCGTCTCGATTCATCTGATCAATAGTTTTGAATTTATCAGATGGAATAACTAGCTCATTTTGGCCTATCTCAGCAGGGCTAGTAGATCTTGTAGGTCTACCAGATCTTCTTCCTGACCAAATCGCAGTATTTCTGCAATCAGGTGATCGTTGATCAGGTGGTAGAGCAATTGCTTTTTCATAAGACCAGTGTTGATTAGGAATCTGGCCTTGCTGAATAGCAGGAAGCTTTGTGTAATCATGTAGAATCGCATCGATCAGTCTCTCTTGATCAAGAATTGCCTTGATTCGGATAGACCAGGCAACATAATTTCCTTCTCCTTTGAGAGGATCGATATTGTGTTTGTTGATCATTTTGAGTTCAAAAAACTTGATTGAATATTTGAAAAATGATTGTTTTTGTCAAGAAAGTTGAGATTTCTTAGTTTTCGTATAGAGAAGTAGACGCGACCGGTAAAAATCGAGTATAAATTTTTGAAAATAAGAAGTCGGAGGAGCTTTTTGTTTCTCTTTAAGAGAGAGAAGTTTCTCTTAAAAGTAAAGGATTCTTCGTTGAAGATAGAAGATTGAAGAAGTGGTATAAGCCGAATTGAAGTAGGATCAATTCGGGCTCATAACCTGTGAGCAAGCGATGCTGCGCAGGTTGGGTAAAGAGGAAGATAAATTAAAGATGATTAAATAAGATCGATTGATCTTTCTTCCTCTTGATTGAATAGGAAGGATAAGTTCAATTCGGCTTAGAATCATAAAGATGAGAGAAAAGTAAAGTAGGACTGAAGCTTGGTTGATTGTATTGAATCTTGCTTGTATATGCTGCATGGCGGTCTGGCTTGATAACATCCTGCCCTATATCTCACAGCTATCTATCCGTTCTAGTTCTGGTTCGTATTTATCGAGTCTATATTAGCCCTATAAGAGAGTAATATACGTACAGCGCGCGTGTATAAGTAAGATGCTGCTAGTTAAAGAGGGGTCCTTCCCTGGTTGTCTTAGGAATTTATATCAACGCCCGTATCTATAAGTAGCTTTAAGATTTTGGGAGCAGCATTGCTTATAGCTGCAACGTGTAAAAGATTAGTTAAGTTTCGGCGGTCTAAGGTATGTGGATCTGCACTATATCGTAGTAGTAGTATAACTTTAGATTCCTAGTTCGACCGGATAGCCTTAAGAAGTAGAGAGTGTTTGTCAAATAGAATAGAATTGACGCTGGTACTATAGTCTAAGAGCAACTTAGTAATAGCTATATTACTACGACCTTTAGTCGCTAATATTAAGGGCCTCTTAGAGTAGAGGTCTGATACGTCCGGTAAAGCTCTATATTCAAGCAGGATTCGTACTATATAAATATTCTTGTGCTCGATAGTATCAAGAAGTGCTGTTAGTTATAACTAGACGTTCGCGCCCGCCGCTAGCATCTTTCGTACCCTAACTTCGTTCCCGTGCTTTACGTACTATACAATTGCAGACCCTCTATCCGATCTGATGTTCTTCTTATAGAGTATAGTAACGAGAACACTATATAGCTTATAGTTTGTGCGTAGGAGAGAAAACAAGTCTTTAATCGATATAAAGTAGCTCGTAATAAGCAAAATAATCTCTAAGGGACAGGCGTTAAGAGATATCGTGAACAAAATAGGATAACTCCGCCTCCTAGACCTAGAATTTATAGATCAAATAATAAGTTGTTAGATATATAGTATTAAGGTACTTAACCTATCTCTAACCTTGGTTCTTAAGGCTATAGTTGGTAAATATCCTAATATAGGATTAATAGAGACTAATGTTAGCCTCTATCTACTATTACGATAAAGTAACACTTTCTTTTCCTCGCTAGCCAAATCATAAATCCGTACGGAAACATTAGAAGTCGTAATAGAGTAGTCACGTCGGTATCCCTATATAAGGGAAAGAACTATTTGACTTAAAGATATATCATCGTATTTATCCAGGCTAGTTAATTTTAAATTGACAGTACCTTAGTATTGTAAAATTGAGATATGTCTTAGCAGTACTAGAAAAGAGCAATAGTGGTTAACTATAATGAAAAGTTCACTGTTTGTCTGCGGGTCGCTTGTTCTGATTAATTGTAGTCTTGGATATTCGTATCTTAGTCCGTATGGCGACCTTAAATGACATACCCGGAACAGTGAGTAACCAACGTGGATAAGATATTAATTTATATCTATATCACCGGACAGACGTAATATTGGTCATTGCAAGTAAGTAATCTCATAATCTAAATTCCAGATCAGCAGTTCTATTGCGTTAACGATAAATCGCGGTCTAGTAGGAATGTCCTCTTATCGTTGATGTAAAATGACTTGAAGACCAGTATCTACTATGATCCTTCAGGAGACGGTCGGTAATTACGTTACAGTAGTAAACAATTATCATTCATTAGTGTTGAAAACATATTTTCCAGAGGCAGAAACAGAGGCTCAAGTTGAGGCAGAAGCACAGTCCGTGAAGAAGGCCAAGGGCAAGAAGAAGGCGCATAATAGACCAGCGAAAGATGCAAAGATGAAATCCAAGATAGAAACGAAGACTAGAGCTAAACTAATGAAAAATCGCCGAGAAGGAAGCTCGGGCGGAGAAGAAAATGAGGAAGAAGGCAGCAAAGAACGCAAACACAAAAAAGAAGCGATCTAATATAACAAATTCTGGAGAGCGCGAGTTTTCACTGGTTCAAGATTGTCTAGGATAGTCTCTTAAAGGTTTCTTGACCTTTCTCGTCTAGATTTGGGTACTGTCGTAGATTATATATATCTGTCCAGAATACCTTTGCATTTTCGTGCGCCTCGCCATGTACCTCTAATCGCTTCCGGAATAACTTTTTCTATTCCACATCTATGTCTGTAAATCCAAAAGAGGCCGAAATATACTTATACCAAATAGGGAAGAAGGCAGCGTATTCCCAGTTAAGTATACCGACAACCTTTCCGTCTTGGACCATGATATTGCCCAAATTGAGATCGCAATGAGTAAGCACGTAGGGTTCGCACTTCGGCAGGCGCTTCTTCAAGTTCTCCAAAACTTGTCGAGGGAGGTAGCGAAGGTTAAGGGCCAGAGCATCCTAGAGCTCTTAGTTAGAGTGAAACGGTCCACGGGCTTCAAGATCGAAAAATAATAAGCCTAGATAATATAGGCTTTGATCGATATACTGAATAGAGGTTGACGTGACAGATCGAAGCTGCTTTCTCACTTTCACGACTTGGTCCGCGACATCTATTTTTTGGGGCTCTGATAGAGAAGTCTATGCCTCCTCGAGCGTCTGACCACCGATACGTTCGTTCAAAACGAAGTACCTCCTATCTCGATCGACCTAGTCACGTAAAACCTTCGGGACAGGAATGTCGGTATAGGTCGCTAAATAGTTCAATGTTTTGACTTCAACTTTTGCTTTTGGATCCTCGTCAGGCCGGTCTTTCAGAATTATATCTGATCCGATAGACCACACACCCCGTGTAGATGCGCCGTAGAAGAGTTTAAGGTGGCTTGTATAATAGCACCGCTTTTCTTTGTCAAGTGTCCACCCGCATACGACACAACTTTTCTCAAGCAGTTCACCTATTGTAGGTGGTTGTAGGCGGTCAATTTCTTACAAGCGATGATCTGACTGAGAATTGGAAGAAAGTGAAAAAAAAAAAATTTCTTTAAGCGGAGAGCCCCTCGCTCATATTTCAAGAGACTAACCGCCACGAAACTATAGTAGCGTCAGATACCTCTCCCACTCTCGGGGGCCTACGGCATTTCGCCTTGCGAACAGCGGTTGACTCTACATAGTATACATCAGTTTATGCATCATCCACATTCGAATTTTTCTCTTAGTTCGTCAGGATCACAATCTAGCAATCATGATTAGATCATAAACCCACAGAAAGCTATCTTATTTGCCAAGATGAATTGTCCAGGGTGCGGATATAACCATATCTCTAAACCTTACCCTTTCACTTGTCACGGTGGTACACAAGTCCCAGGAGCTCAATAATGTCAGGTCCCTCAATGAAACTCTCAAAAATTAAACTAATCACTGATTTAGGCCCTTACTGTTGGGTGGATCCAATGGGAAAGAAGCACTTCCAGCTCAAGACTCATCATCTGAGGCATCTAGTCACCCATGTCGAAAAAGGCGGGATTCTGGAAGGCCATAGGGATGTGCCAGAAACGGTACGCGAAGAATTATATATGGAGGAGCAAGAGAGGCTGGCAAAGAAAAATCGCAAAGGCGGACATGAAAACGGATTACCGTATCCTCCCATCAACATCAATGTCCTGCCCTCGCAGCCTTCCGGCACTAGATTGGATGTTTCTGGGGCCCCAGCTACTGCTGCCGCGAAGGGTCTAGGCCCGCTTGATATCCCCGGGCCTAGGGACGAAGCAGTCAAGGAATATGGCGAGTGGCAGGTGTCGCAGGTCACTGATGACACTCTTAAGACTGCATTCCGACAAGTATGCGATGTGATGCTCGAAAATGGTCTCGATCTTGAGCAGGTCTACAAGGATCAAGACCCGGAGTTCTTCATAGGCAAGGGCATAAAGATGGGCATCGCTCGGCGGTTCGTGGAAGACATTCAGCGATGGGTCAAGGACGTGAAGAAAGCAATCCCGATTCATGAAATAATCTAGCAGCAACCTGGGTTTGGAATTGGACCGTATGGGCGTTCGGGAGATTTATCGCATTATCTGAGCAATGCTAGTGCCGTTGACCGGGGTTGTAAGTGAAACGAGTAGTTTTTTCCAAACGTTGGTTTGTGTATCCGGGGTTCTGTTTACTGGCCAAATGCTTGTGGAAGCCCGACAAAAGAGGCGCTTCTTAAGACTGGACTCAATATTCGCAGGTATCACTAAAACGTTCTTATCGACGGACTTGGACTGGATGTTCACATATATATGAACTAAGGCGGATTAAACTCAATGGAATGGCCATCAGAAAGACTGAGTAGCTTACAGTTTGAATAGCACGTGTGGTGACAAGTGGATAGCAGGCGCAACTGGGTGGTATTCAAAGTCAAATTCTGCGTTGAGAGAGGCCAGTGTCGTGTTCAAAAGCCAAAATAAGACGGCAGCAATGCAATCCATCATAAACAGAGTATTGACTTAAACGTACTGTAGCCGCTTTGAATGACGTATCTAAGGAGCCCAGAGCTTATGTCACCCTAGAATGATGATTGGGTGAACATCTGATGAATTGCGACCAATGAGAAGGTGCCTGTGAGCAACACGTAGAAATCCGCAAATCCGGATACTTTATTGCACGGAACTGAACACTGTGGATAAACCAAGATAATATCACGTATCATCTCGAGCTTTAACGGAGGAAGCCTTGGCACCATGTTGTGGAGGAATGGGGTGTAAGGTTCCAGATTTTAGTGCTGGAACCCCTGAAGGGCTTGACTGATAGGGGTTTTTGAGGGACCATACGGAATGACTTTTCTCACACGCTCACTCACCTCTTACTGTAGCTACAAGAATCTGAAACATTAGAACTTGACTCACTATATGCCTTAACTCCCAGATACTCTTACATCCCCTTCGCCACGCAATCTACCCTCAGCCCCCTATATTATAGGCCTGAAAATGGATTTCTGTTTATGCTAGCCATATATCTCCCAATGTCATTTATATCCAGCCTACCTACAGGGTATGCATTAAAAAGATCGACGATAATTGTTGGAATCTCGGGGTGACGTTCTGAAGGCACCGTGGAAATTCCCTACTGAGCACCCGGGGGGTTCACAGCCCCAATTTGCAGCATTATCCCGAACAGATCAGGCAAGCCAGTCTCCTCCACAATCATTCCATCTGTGAATCGATAGATGTTCATAGCTCGTGCCTCGATTTTCTTTCCAGAAGCCGGAACACCAAAGAATTCGCCTTCGTGAGTTCCACGCAGAGTAAACTGCGCTACAACTCTATCGCCCTCGATAATTGTATCGTCAAGTGTCCACTGGATATCTGGGTAGGCGGAGCGCATCATGCCGAGAATTTGCATGTATCCAGGCAACCCTTTCAGTGGGGTATCCGAAAACGGAACGTGGAACACGGCTGCTTCGGAAACTACCTCTTGTCCTATGATTTCATCGCCTGAATTGATGAACTCAACGAATCGATCCATCCTTTGTAGGAGAGGGCGAGCCATTATGTTGCTTGAAGGATACGTGAGTTTTTTTTATTTTTCTTTTTTTTCACAGAAAACTGACTCCAATTTTGACTTACATGTAGTGATTCCGTTCTGATAAAATGGTAGGGTGTGGAAGACTCTTTCCTTCGTCAAGCTTCTGGAGACCGAGAATTAGTAAACGCCTGACGAACTCCGGAAAAAGGACACCACTCGATGACTTGATCTTGGACAGATGGTTTGATCGGAATACAAGGAGTGTGGACTGCAATATGCTCATTTAAAGACCCCTCTAAGGAGATTTAAATGCGTAGATAGGGATGGAAGTTTACCTTTGATTACCAAGTTTTTGACGTTTAGGTAGAAATTTTTGTTGTGTCCGATAGATCTTCTCATCTGGGAATCGAGGCGTATTTATACCTTGAACTCTTGTGTTAAAAGTATGATCCATACAATCTGCAAACTAAAGGCGATCAAGGTTTTTCCGTTTGGTAAGTTTGCACCGTACGAATTAGGCAAGATTTGCCTTTTCATTAGGAGGTTCAACCAATAAGCGCGCGGTGACTCGGAACTCCCGAGTTTAGCCCCTGTGTTTGTATGGTTTGTAATAGATCAAAATTTCGCCTCTTATTGAATGCACACTATAATCCGGGATTTCCGATCCACGCTACTGTTTGGTATGTTTGTATACCTTGCAAACTTCGAGTATTGTGCCGTTAGCCTAACATATCGATCGGAACAGTTTTCCTTAACATTAGCTATATGTACGCCAGCCGAAATCAATGGATCTTTGCTGAAGGCTATTGTTAGAATCTAGAGGACGAAGGAGAGAAGAGAGAGGGATAATGAGGCTAAGTTCTCTAGAGGCGAAGGGATCTATCTACGCGGCCTAGTTGGCTAAGGCAGCAGAACGGGTTGAGTGGATAGACGAGCATGACGAAGATATTAGGTTCCTTGATTTTAAGAGAGAGCTTCGTCTTGCCCTTTCCAGGATCCCCTTTAATCCAGAGGAGGCGGTTGCCCTGGCTTCACAGGGCCATCAGGTGGTCCACCAAATTATCTTCGTCATCCGGGTTGCAGCAGCTCTCATTGTCTATTTTATCGTTATCTTTTTCACCACGCTCTTCATCGCATACAGATTGGGCTTTGGCTATAAGCTCGCGGCAACCCAGAGCTTCACTACAGCCAACAACAACTTTGAACTGGCCATTGTTGTTGCCGTCGCCGCATTCGGCGCAAACAGCAACCAGGCTCTTGCAGCTACGGTGGGGCCTTTGATAGAGGTGCCTGTGCTACTGGGGCTAGTTTACGCTGTGAAATTATTGGCCAAGCGAATGGGCTGGAAGGATTAGTCAGGGCCAAATCACCGGGAGGTCATCGTGTTTTGAGCCATCTAAGAAGAGCACCAGCTAGACATGCTCTAAATGACCTCGTGCTTAATGAGTAATTATTAACAACGAGGAGACATTACGTAGTGAGAGGTCGTAACCTGACACCAAGCGAGCTATACTGTACCTAGCACCTTCCCGGGACTTCTTCGATGTCCAAGCCTGCGTGCCGAAAATGGCCTCTAGCACTACCTGATTTTGCACCAACGACATCAATACACCATGTGAGGAAGGCATCAAATCCTTAGTCAGGGTCTGCTTCGTAGTGACCCCAGTTGCGCCTAATAAAGCTTTTCAGCTCAGCAAAAAACTCCTCGATCGGATTCAAGTCCGGCGAGTAGGGCGGCAGATAAACCAATTTCACACCCGCGTCCGTGCACATCTGCGAAATCCGCTCTGAATGATGAAAGGACGCATTATCCATGACCAAGACAGATTTAGGCTCCGGCCACCGTCCACAGTGCTGCAGAAGCTGAGCAATAAAGTCCTCGAACATAGTAGCGTCCGTTGAACCGCGGAAGATTCGCGAGAGAACTATCCCATCCTGGGAGTACGCAGGCAGTGTCTGATAACGCTGGTCGCGGTGGAACTGCGATACTTGCAATGGGGCTACACCAAGTGGTGACCAGCCTGTCCGCCGGAACCTAACCCTTTTATCACACCCAGATTCATCAACGTAAACTAGGTGATATGACTAGAAATCCGTTAAATTATGCAGATAAAATTCCCGCAAATCGGCATTTCGCTCCCTAGCTTGCTGCCGAGCAGTCTTTTTAGACCAACCTTTAGCGACGAGGGCTCTTCTGATGCTGGATGTTGTAATCATGGTGTGAAACTCATCCCAGAGGAAGACAGCCATCTCGTCGAGGTAGAGACCCGGCTTTTCGGATAGATGGTCGCAGAGGGCCTCGATCATGAGTGGTGTCACTGTCCGTCTTCGGCCTATTCGAGTTGGCGGCGCGTGGGCACTGCCAAACTGCCGCAAGTTTCGGCGAACATTGATGATCGTAGCCTTGCTGCATTCAGCTTCTTCAGCCATTTGAGACGTTGTTAGTGACTGGCTGCCTATCATATCACAGATAAGTTGTAGCTTTGACGCAGGAAGTCTCGGTGCCATCTTGCCAGTACAAGCTCAAGTGGTGAAGTGGTTGAAGATGAGAAGATTGATGGAGGGGCACACAGGTGTGTGTATAAAACAATACATGTAAAATACATATGTGTAATGTCCCGGGTGTGTTATGTAAAATTCGGCGGCCCCGCCCGCTAGGAGAGGGTGGGGCAGAGATCTGCGACTATTCTATATTTAGACTAGTTGGCTAGAGTTTAGGGTTCGGGAATTAAGTCAAAAGAGTGTTGGGGTAAAAGTGTTTTCGAATATTACTGTAGTACACGACGACAGTTTCAAGTGGTCTTCAACTCACATAGTGGATATAAGTCTAAGCAGTCGCTCTTCTGCCTCATCTCGCGCCTTTCTCTCTTCTGCCCGCACTGTCTTTCTTCCCCAAGCTGGCGTCGAAGCTTGTGGTTCTAATAGCAAGATCGTAGTCAACACAACAAGGGGCACTGTCTGCTCGCAAGTCTGTAATGAAAAGAGAAATTGAAAGATCTCTAAAGGAAAGACCGTGTATAACAGGCAGGGCGCTGGGGGTTATAAATATGAAGACAAGTAGACATGAAAAAGACACAGCGACGTACAAAGGATAAAGGATACATCAATACGTGCAAAACAGGGATTAAAGACGAGAAACACATTGAGATACACGAAGTCTCAATAGGCACCTAGTCGGTGTAGAAGACATCAAATTTTACAGTAGAAGAAAAGCGTAGAAATTGAATAGAAATATAGAGCTATGCGAAAATTTGAATGCAAAATAAGGGTACATAGGAGAGGCAGAATATGGTGTGGCAGGATGACAGCATTATGGCGAGGAGATAGCACCGGCATAGGTTGATTTCTGCAATAGCGGGCAAAGAGGAGTACAGCACAATATACAATGAACCTTGCGAAGCGTGCCAAGTAGATGATTAGGCAGGACAGCAAAGGGCAAGCCAACGCAAGAAGAGATGAACGTGACCTGGTATCCAGGCAAGCATCAACAAGAGAACGACTGGACGGTAGAGCGGAGCTTGCATTTCTCGCTGTGTCTGAAACTACGTTAATGTTGAAGGCACCCACGGTTTATCAGAGCGGTAGCTATTTGTTTGCCCAATCCTTCAGCTTAGGAAAGTGTGTATCTGCCCAAAACTAGAGCGAGCTGTGGGATAAGAAAAGAAATTCTATCCACTTCTTGGATTTGTATATTGCTGGAGTCAAAATCAGTAAAAACCATTCTGTTTACCGATCCGATCAGATAAAGACGTATATTGGAGCAGTTTTGAGTCAAAACTGTTCTGCGTAAAACAGACTGTATGGAGTCGCACTAATTAACCTCCGCTTCTTCGCAAGGCTCAACAGTAACTGCCTGTTTCTGAATAACGGGTCGAGCGACTTTAATGATTAGATTGATTGCACTATATTTCTATTAGCTTTAGTAATATTTTATCCAGCCGAACCAGACAAGACTCACTACTCTATCGGAAAGAGCACGGATATGTGGCCACTGCCTGAATTAGGGCCTAACAGATAGAATATGTTAGGGAACTCGTTCACTGCCACGGTCTTATATGCCCCAACTCCTCCTGCGTTATTCCATTGTTGCTGCAATATCTTTCCTCGCCGACCGATCACCGTATTCGCTTGCCATTGTGTAAATTGAAAGCCCGTTGCTAATATCTGAGTACGCGGTTTTTATGTTAGTATGAACTTGGTCTGCTCCTCCTAGCTCAGCTGCTCGGTCGTAGATAACGTAGTCGGTGAAATTTAATTTCCGTTGGAGCTGGCACGCCATACCAATACCTGATAAGCCTGCCCCGATAATGACGACGTCACTGTATAATCTTTCTTGCTGTTCCATGGCTTGATCGCTGCGTAACATGCCCCGTATGCAGAAAGAAGTCAGACATAAATAATGCTGTGGATATCTCCAGAAACCAAAAGACGTTACAGTAGTTTTCGAAATCAGTTATACCTTGACACTCTTGCGACTTCATTCCCGGAAAATAAATCCTGATCGCGCTAACCCATTTTAGTTCACCGCTCTATAATTTCGGCAGAACCGTAATAGTAATGGCATCAAGAGATTAGTCATCGTCCATCGCACTTGATCCGATATTTGGGATTTTTCATGCTTCGAATAGTGTGTTGAATCGCAATAAATATGTGCCAAGGAGCATCGCTTGAGAAAGAGCACTGGTACTATTGAGCAGAGCGGTAAGAGTGGTCCTGGAGTACAGTATTCTGATTACAATAACAATTTTCGATAGCCCTGTATATTTCGGCCTATAAAGCTAGAAATTTCCTTTCGCAATATCCTCTTCATACCACTCAGGACTAGCCATCATCCCAAAGTCTTCCTGGAACTCGGCCATTTTCAAAGTCAAAGGTAGATTCTGCAGCACGGTCATTAGTTTTGCGTCATTGCATTCTTGCCCTAGGTCTGTGTAAGGCCGCGAACAACGTGTACACTTGCGCTCCACGTGGTCTGGTTCCGTGGTGATCCTAAGGTGAGAGTTTCGTATTGTACTTCGTCTCTCAAGGCAGCGCTGACAGCTCCCGCAAAGAGTACAATAGAGGCCTGAACCACACATTTGCCGGCACAAGCCGCAAAGAAAGTGAGTGATTCCGTTAATGTCGATAATCTGCCCCGGCTGATACATTCTTTTTCTGATCCCACAGTCGACGCAGAATCGACGATCACTCTCAGCATGCCCTTTTCTACGTTTTGCCTTTACTTGTTTATCAGCAAAGGCGCCCCGTAAGCGGAGTTTCAGACAAAGACTGCATGCAAAGTAGCCCTTGTATCTAGAACTCAGTTAAATGGGTATGTAGATCATGGTGATAGGCAGGCCTTACGAAGGATAGTACGTACCTAGTCCAGTTCTCCGCAGCAGATAAAAACATTAACTTTTGCTCTGGTGTTGTAGGCTTTTCAACCGTAAGCATGGATCTGAAGAATGAATTGGTTTGCGACAAAGTCAGACATGAAGGATAGCCGAGATAACTGAAAATCTGTAGGTGTATTTCGGTTGGTAAATCGAACAATTTTACGGCTGACGGCTGAGCCATAACGGAGAGGATGGGGCCAATAGATCTGGCCAGCAGGCAAGTGGATCCTTCGCGATGTTCCAAGATGCTTACGCTAATATGGTTGGGAAATCAAGGAATTATTGCAGGATGGTTTGAGAAAATGAATGACGGTTTGCCTAGCCTTTAACCCCGCTCTTGTTGTTTGAACAGTTTGCAGGTTAGGGACAGCCCGTACGGTTACAGTATCAGTAATGAGGACACCTGTCAGATATTGCACGAATAATGAATGAATACTTTCAAAGGAATATTGATATTCCGCGGCAATTCGTGATACGAATTACGATAATGGTATTGTAAAATACAGAGACTACTATAGAAAGCGGTCTGAAACGAACAATGGAGGACCTAATCTAATCAGAGCTCACATATGGCGGATTTATTTTCCGGGAGTGAAGTTGCAAGAGTTTTGAGGTTTAACTGAATTCGAAAACTACTGTAGTGTCTTCCAGAGTTAGGTATGATTTGATTTGATCGTTTAAGCTTTCAATTCACCATCGACAGCACTTCAATCGACCCTCGAATGAGACATATGGATTTTATGGCCAGTTTCACCACTATTATTCACAATCATATCTGCTCCTGGGATCGTTAGCCTTCTGATGTACTTATTAATTGATTGGCCAATCCACGTAGCTATCAAAACTTCGGCAGTATATATGCTAAGACTACGACAAATCCTCTGCCTCACTCAATGATTGAATAACCAACAAATCCGCACTTTGCTCAATTTTCAACCAAACTACGGATCGACGTTTTTCTCAACCTACAACCAAGAATTGTACTCGTGATGCCTCCACAAAAAACAACCCGAAACCGAAACCAAAACCATATCAATCAATCCATTCTACCGTATATTCACTGTTAGTGTCCGTCGCGAATAGAAATTCTGATCATGATAGCTAAGTACTGACATGCTTCAGGTCGTTACATTCCCGCCAGAAACATCAATGAGATCATATCAAAAATCCATGAAGAATATGCCGCAGTGCAAAACGAAAGTTATCAAAAAGAACTCAAACTGAGATCGTACGAAAATCACAAACATAAGTGTTATCAGCATATTAAGGACTTGATGAGCAAGATTGAGGCCCTAAAGCAAGAAAATCGGGAGCTAGAGAAGGAATTTAAAAAGATAGAAATCCAGTTAGAAAATGAAAGAAGAAAGACAGGGGACATACTATAGCAGATCAGAGTGAAGTAGGCTCGGAAAATTCACTGAGAATTCTGCTATACAGTGTGTGTGTGTGTAGTTCATTTACCCTGACCCCTTGTCGAAGTTGGTCTACCAACTACACCGAAATACGAAATCATATCTAGCCTAGCGGTCTGTGGCTCATAATACTGTACAATTATGCAATTAATGTGCAGGCTATCATAAATACATAATTTCATGGATTTACATGGATGGTGTACCACTTCTTAGACAAACTCAGAGCCTGTTTAAGGCTTGTCGCAGAATTGCTCCTAGGATCTGTCCAGGGACTTAAAAACAAGATTCCAGGCGTAGAACTCCTCAATGCTTTAGCAAGGTGAGCAAAGTCTTTATTCGGCCTAATCAGTCCTGACAATATACAGCATTTGACTTGATTGTAAATATAGCGACTTGACCATTGTGTGCGGCCGCGATGAATATGCTTTGCACAACTGCATAATTTGCACACAGTCAAACATCTTAAGTAAAGCTTGTGATGTTAATTTGGAGGCATTTATCTTGATAGCTGATACAGTAGCAGAGCACAAAGCTTTTGCTCATTGATTTCGGGAGTTTTTCACCAACATATTGTACAGGACGTCCCGAAACTGGTGCAACAACCTACACTCTTCGAGTGATTCTAGAGCCCCACCGCTGAGAGACACTAATCTATATTTAGTATTTTCCGGAGTATCCCTGTTAGTCCGACATGTATTTCTACTTACGTATATTACACGGTACTTTCAAGCATGTATTCGCTTATAAATAATCCATACCCCACCACGAAAACAACCTCCCAAGAGAGGCTATCTTTAACCTTCAATCACAAGCGGCCGAACCAAGATGGCGCCAAACCTAGCCCCTTCAACGCATGAGCTTATCTATGACATGATCCACAGTGGGGAACTATCTGTATCGGAGATGGCTGAGGCTGCTGGTTGCCACAGGAGTACCATCCTGAGAATCTCTTCCAATATACAGCTGTTTGGCAGCGTCAAAGCACCGCCTAATAAAGGCGGGCGGCCACGTAGCATCACTCCAGTCATGCTAGAGGCTTTATGCGATCACCTGCTTGAAAAACCTACCTTATACCTAGACGAGATAACGATCTTTCTATAGGACGAATTCGCTCTTCAAGCAACGAAATCGAGCATCAGCCGTGCCCTTGCGTCCAAAAGCTAGTCAAAAAAGACTGCCCGTATTAAGGCTCAAGAGCGCAACCTAGAGCTTCGTGACGAATACTCTTACTATACCTCAGACTTCAAGTCTTACCACCTTGTCTTTGTGGATAAGTCTAGATGTGATAAGAGGATAGGCTTCAGGCGGACTGGTTGGTCTCTACTAGGTATAGCGCTAGTTCAAGTATCTAAATTCCATCGTGATCAGCGATATTAGATACTACCTGCCTATGCCTAAGATGGTGTTGTTCTGTCTCGAGTATTCCAAGGCTCAACCGATGAATCTATCTTTGAGGATTTTATAGAGCAGCTTCTCTAGTACTATAGGAGGTGGCCAGAGCCAAAATCCGTGTTAGTCATAGACAATGCATCCTTTTATCACTCTGACTAAATAGAAAGGATGTGTTCGAAAGCCGGGGTAAAGCTAGTGTACTTACCTCTATACTCTCCTGACTTGAACCCTATTAAGGAGCTCTTTGCCGAGTTGAAAGCCTTCATTCGGCGAAATTGGTATTCCTACTCAGAAAGTCCCGACTAAGGATTTGATACCTTCCTCGAATAGTGTGTTGATGTCATCGGTGCAAGGGAGAAGAGTGCAGAGGGCTACTTCCGGCACGCAGGCCGGACTATTGAGGTAATGTAGTACAGCTACTTGAGCTAAGTTTGAAACAGATCTCGTTAGTTGACCTAAATACTTCACACCTGGTCTTTCATTTTCTATGAATGGAAATCACGTGCCGTATCAGGAGTAGTCTCGTAGACTCCCAATTTGGCGGACTGCCTAACCCCACCTTCCATGGGCTACCCCCACCTTCCACGGGGCTGAGTTGAATCATTCATTAACCCTTCTCTTGGAGGCAGCTTCTTTCCTCGGATCTTGACCAGAGAGACGCGGCCAACAATATTTCTTTTTCCCACTTCCGATTTCTTCGCATGAAGGGCTACCTGTTAGAGGGGCTAGACTGTTGGCTTGCGCTTCACCGTCTGTTTTACCACATCCATCTCACTGCTATCCCGCCTATCTCGCTACGGCTATGGCGTCTATCTCTATCAGTGGAACGAACTCTGGAGTTCAAATCGGACAAAATAGTGGCCATATCACTGCACAGTTTCACCCCCCAACTGGTAGGTTTTCCCGAAGCCATGCTAGGGATATACGCACTAATTGGATATCTCTGTCCCAGAGCAACTTGAAAAATCAGCAAACCTAGCCTGCCTACGGGATTTGCAGACGACTAATCCTCGTCATGACAAGTATCGTATCGAGACGGACAAAGGTGGACTACTCAAAGATGCATATACTTGGATCCTCGACCATGCTGATTTCATACGATGGCGCTATCAGAAACACAGTCAACTGCTGTGGATTAAAGGGGACCCTGGGAAGGGTAAAACAATGCTCTTGTGTGGAATCATCGACGAGCTCACGAAGTCCGCTCCTGACACGCACGCTGTCTCCTTCTTTTTCTGTCAGGCCACCGACGTGCGGATCAACCACGCGACTTCGGTCCTTCGAGGCCTTATATCTATGATGGTCGACCAGCAGCCAATCCTCATCTCCCATGTACGGAAACAGTATGACAAGGCTGGGAAGCAGGTCTTTGAAGATGTTAATGCGTGGGAAGCTTTGTCGGAAATCCTTGCTAGTATCCTCGAGGATCCACTATTACGGACAACCTATTTAATCATCGACGCTCTCGACGAATGCACTATGGGTTTATATCGACTTCTTGAATTTGTCGCCCAGAAATCATCGGCATACCCACATATCAAATGGATTGTCTCGAGCCGCAATTGGCCAACTATCGAAGAGACACTTGATACGCTTTCACAGAAGACAAAGCTATGTTTGGAATTGAACGAGACATCCGTCGCTAAGGCTGTCGCTATCTTCATTAATTACAAGGTTCAGAAGTTGGCTGAAAAGAAGAAATATAACAATGAAAATCGTGATGCTGTGTTCCAACATTTGTCGTCCAACGCACATGGTACCTTCCTCTGGGTGGCCTTGGTTTGCAAGGAGCTTACTCATGTCTCGAAGAGACACGTTCGAAAGAAATTACAAGATTTCCCTTCTGGTCTTGACGAGCTTTACAAGCGAATGTTGAACCAAATCCGCGGACTGGATGATGCTGAACTCTGCAAGTCTCTTCTTGGAGTCATGACGACCGTTTACCGCCCTATCACGTTTGACGAATTAATGTCTTGTATCGATTTACCGGAAGACGTTGCACACGATTATGCAGAAGACTATGAGTCTCTAGAAGAAATCATAGGGCTTTGTGGCTCTTTCCTAACAATCCGAGGACGCACGATCTCTCTAGTTCACGAGTCAGCCAAGGACTTTCTCCTTCAAGAAGCAGAGATTTTTCCCGGCGGAGAAGACATTGTACACTATTCTATTTTTTCAAGGTCTTTACGCGCTATGGCGAGGACACTACGACGCGACATCTATAGCCTCGTCCACCCAGGCTGTCCAATCGAGCAGGTCAACCAGCCAGATCCAGATCCACTAGCCGCAATAGATTACGCGTGTATTTACTGGGTTGATCACCTTTGTAGATGCTCTCCAAATAAGAATACGATAGGAGACCTACAGGACAGTGGCCCAGTTGGCATTTTCTTCCGCAATCACTACCTTCATTGGCTCGAGGCTCTTAGCCTGTCACGGAACTTATCAGGGGGAGTAGCTTCGATACTAAAGCTCGAAAATTTGCTCCAGGTCTGTTTCTACTCGTATAGTTCAAAGCACCACTCTGATAATATTCCCTTACATGACACAGATGAATTCACAACTTATTGATAGAGTTCGAGATGCATGCCGGTTTATCTTATACCATAAAATGGCAATCGAGCGCTATCCACTTCAAGCATACGCTTCGGGACTAGTATTTTGTCCGGTTAGCAGCATAACGAGGATGCAGTTTCAAGAACAAGGACCAGCGTGGATAAGTCGAAAAAACACGATGGAAGAGGGTTGGAGCGCATGTCTACAGACCCTTGAGGGTCATAAGGACAGGGTCAACTCGGTTGTCTTTTCCCATGATTCCCATCTCCTCGCCTCCGCTTCAGCTGATCGCACTATCAAGCTGTGGGATACCAGTAACGGCCGATGCCTACAGACATTCCAGGGCCATAGCGAAATGGTCAACACGGCTACCTTCTCCCATGATTCTCGGCTCGTTGCCTCGGCTTCATGGGATCGCACCGTTAAGGTATGGGATGTCAGCAGTGGGCAATGCCTACAGACCTTCCAGGGCCATAACGACATAGTCGAGTCAGCCGCCTTCTCCCACGATTCCAAGCTCCTCGCCTCAGCTTCAAGCGATCGCACTATCAAGATATGGGATACCAACAGCAGCCAATGCCTACAGACCCTCGACGGTCATAGCGACACGGTCAGCTCTACCTTTTTCTCCAATGATTCCAAGCTCCTCGTCTCGGCTTCTCTAGATCGCACTGTCAAGGTGTGGGATAGGAGCAGCGGTAAATGCCTACAGACTCTCGACGGTCATAGCAACTTAGTCCACTGGGCCATCTTCTCTCATAATTCCACGCTCCTCGCCTCAGCCTCATACGATCGCACCGTCAAGGTATGGGATGCCGATAGCGGGCAGTGTCTACAGACCTTAGACGGCCATAACGACATGGTCAGCTCGACAGCTTTCTCCCATGACTCTCAGCTCCTCGCGTCGTCCTCGTGGGATCGCACGATTAAGGTGTGGGATACGGCCAGAGGCCAGTGCATACAGACTCTCGAGGGCCATAGGGAAGGAGTCAAATCGGTCGTCTTCTCCCATGAATCCAAGCTTCTCGCCTCAGCTTCCTGGGATCGCACTATCAAGGTGTGGGACGTCTGTAGCAGCGGGTGCCGAGGGACTCTCGACTGTCATAGTGATCTTATCAACTCAATCGTCTTCTCCCACGATTCCAAGCTCCTTGCCTCGTCTTCATGGGATCGCACTACAAAGATATGGGATGTCAGCAACGGGGTTTGTCTACAGACCCTCGAGGGCCATAGCGACATGGTCAGCTCGGCTATCTTCTCACATGATTCCAAGCACCTCGTCTCGGCCTCAGACGATCGCACTATCAAGGTGTGGGATACCAGCAGCGGTCAGTGCCTACAGACCCTAGAGGGCCATAGGGAAGGAGTCAAATCAGTCGCCTTCTCTCGCAATTCCAAAATCCTCGCCTCCTCTTCATGGGATAGCACCATCAAGCTATGGGATACTGGCAGCGGCTATTGCTTACAGACCTTTAAGGGCCATAACTATATAGCCAGTTCGGCTCTCTACTCACATGATTCCAAGCTGTTCGCCTTAGCCTCAGACGATCGCACCATCAACGTGTGGGATATTAGCAGCGGTCAATGCATACAGACCTTCCAGGGCCATAGCGACGTCGTCAACTCAGCAATTTTCTCTCATAATTCCAAGCTCCTCGCCTCAGCTTCAAGAGACCGCACCGTGAAGGTGTGGGATGCCAACAGCGGGTTGTGCCTACAAACCCTCAAAGGTCACAGTGACCTAGTCCGCTCGACCGTTTTCTCACGTGAATCCAAGTTCCTCGCGTCATCTTCCCAGGATCGCACCATCAAGGTCTGGGATGTTGTCAACGGCCAGTGCCTACAGACTCTTAACGTTGGAATAACCAGCTCTGTGAGATTATTCGACATTACGAACTCATACCTTGAAACTAGTAATGGCACCCTTCTTTTATCTTTACTTGGAGATATGGGACCGACTAACAGCATGGATCCGGGAGCCGCGCGATATGAGGGTTTCTGTATAAGTTCCGATGGTACATGGATCACTTGGAATTCTGAGAATCAGCTCTGGTTACCACCTGAGTACCGGCCACGTGGCTGGTTTACTTCCGCGGTCTCACCATCGGTCGTATGTATTGGTTGTGCTTCGGGACAGGTACTGTTCTTCACGTTTGATTCGCGGAAACTACCAAGTTTCCCTGCCAAGCGCTTGATTCCTCTTAATTAAAACTTCTCTTACTGCGCGTTCAAACAGTGATTCTCGAAATTGCCTTGACCAATACACACTGAGACTCTCTTTCTGGGACCCACTGCCAAGACCTTAGCGCAGATCATTCATTGGACTGGCAACAAAAAGTTGCGGCCCGCTGTAATGGTACAGTGACCCTCAACGTGTATCCCACATGCACAGCGTGCGATATATTTATTGTCTTGCAGGGAGAGATACCATACAAGAATCTATTACCTAAGGGTCCTCAAATTACTGTGGGCAGTCCGATTGATGATCTGCGCGAAGATCCTGGCAGTGGGGCCGAGAGAGTCTCAGTGTGTAGTGGTCAAGGCAAGCTCGAGAACAACTATGGAAAATTCTAGATTCCTTGGGTCGCTAATACATCTATGAGACAACAATCGTATTTTAATTAGGGTAAATCACTTATTGATAATTCTGCAGGAATATTGATATTCCGGAGCTATTCTCAATGTAGACTAAGGTCTATTTGCAGTGGGGCTAGAGAGTCTCTCTGAGAGTGCAGGTGGTTGCACCAGTTTCGGGACGCACTGTATCTCGATAAATTGACTTTGGGGGTTTGTTCTTCCCCCAACGCGAGAGGATTTGATGAGGCAAGCCCAAGCAGTAAAGAGGCAAGGCTTTCACCATCGTCAATAAAGTTTGTCTGGGAAGCTTCTAACATTGCGTCTCCGATGTTGGCTGATGGCGTTAGCTTTCGTCTATAGAATGAGAGACTTGAATACTCACCTATTTTAACGGTGCCGTCAGAGAGCAAAACGACGTGAGATCTATTGATGCTCCCATGGCCCAACTTGAGTTGAGTGTGCAAATATTCAAGGCCGCGCAAAACGGCCCAACCGATGGTCGCAATCTCAGGCTCGTTAAGCTTGACATTAGGAGACGAGATGATTCGTACTGTAACAGGCTCACCACAAAACCGCGATGAGTGTAGACTAGGTATACAGTACGTTGCGAAACCGGTGCAACCGCCTCACACTCTTCGAGTGATTCTCCAGGCCCACCGCTAAGAGACGCTAGAACACATTAGGAATGGTTCCGGAATATCAGTATTTCTGGATCAGTCTCGTTACTATCATTTATTTTCATAGAATACGGTGCCTTGTGTCGTAACTGTATTAGCGACCCAAGGGGACCAGAATTTTCCGTGGATACGCAAACATGTCAAACAGTTGATCAATGGATAGCCTCGAGAACCTAGCAACCTGATCTTGTGAGTCCTTTCGGGAGTAGCCTAAGTTGGGTCTGTATTTCTTTGTATACAGAATACGTTATAGCCTCAGGCATGTATTCGCTTGTGAATTTCGTACAGTACACAAGCGACCCCTCTTTCCATAACACTCAGCCTTCCCAACTCGTGCGGCTGCACTCCATTCCACTAAAATTTGTCGAACGGCTTAGTTCCAAGGGTCCGTCGCCATTTCCTCAGGAAGAAAATTGCACAAAATCTACGCATCGTTCCAGAATGAGGTTTCCCACAGAGATTTATGATTGTGTAAGGTGTAATTACATCTCGCCTAAACCCAGAGACTAAAATGCTTCTTGCAGATCACGGCCCACCTGGAGAGTGTCGGTGACGTCGCATACCAAAATTGGACCCACGATTCCCAGCGCTACAGGATCTTGGATTATCAAGCACGAGGAAGACTGGCTACTCTTCGTCTAGTCAACAAGAGCTTTTGTTATAGCGCCTCGGTGCGCCTATTTCGACATATAACCGCTAGAGCTGGTTTCAAAAGAAATCTTTCACCACTCGTACGTCTTCGTGAGATTTCCAACGGCCCAAATGCCGTCCATGTACGCCAGGTCGATCTTGGGTGTTCCGAGATTGGGATATCCACCGCGGAGGTAAAAGTATATGTGGAAGACCTAGCTGGGATTTTATTGTCTTGCCTCCACAGATTCCCGAATCTAAGGGCCATTGTGTTCGGCGAACCTCCATTATCTCTTCCTCAAGAACACCGACAGATCTACATAAATACAGCCACCAGGGCACTGCAATATGTGCCGCTTCCAAATTTGGTCGAACTTGAACTCTTCTTCCCTATTACCGACAATTTTCGACAATTCTTTCCTGCCGAAGCTGGTCCGCTACGCGCACCCATCGAGACTATCCTTAGGCGGCTTCGGCATTTAGGACTGTATGTGCGTGATTACACAGGAACTCAAGACCAGCGCTACTTTAGGCAGCCAGTCTTGCCAGAAAATACTGCTCTTCCAAACAACTCCAATGCCTTTCATCTTTTCAAAATGGTCGAGCTTGCCACCAATCTTGAATCACTCGCAATAGGCAGCACAGATCATTTGACATTCGACCCTCGGCCTTTATCCCAGAATCGTCTCAGGTGTCTCTATCTGAATAGCATATCTATCTCATCCAACAGCCTCCTTGCCATTATTTACCAGTCTCAGGACTCAATCAGGTATATCGAGCTCTGGCAAGTTAAATTGGACTCTGGAACGTGGCAACATGTACTATGGAAACTATGCCGCCTGCCTCGTCTCCTCGATTTTGTCATCAAGTCCAGCGGCTATTCTTTCGAAGGGTCAAGCTCACGTCTAGCTCTCCGGCTCCTTCCGCCAATAGACGATCCTGCAGACATTGAGACCTACAACTACCTGGACAATTATGCACTCGGAAACCTGCAGCGCCAAGTCAATACGAACCGGGTTGCTGTAGGGTTGGAGCCTTTCTCTAATTTTGAGTACTCTCATATCCACCGACCATCCCTAGAGTCTCGGCTAGCGGACGAATAGTATTCATAGTTTTTCAAATGCGTGCTCCTCTAATCCCATCCTACCTGCCTTTTTCTGGGGTGTTCTCAGTTAAGAGTTACTGTAAGCATAACATAACAGTTACATGCCAATTGAGGGTCTTGTTTATTTGGCAGCAAAACAAGCTTTTTTCGTTATCATTTCTACTATACTTGATCGATATCTGAGGACGGATCTTCTTGCAACGACGGAATAGATGGAGTCACAAGCAGCTGGTTCCCCACCGCTGTCCCATCAACAGTACTACATTCAAAATGTTTTATCAGTGTGCGCTGGGAGCTCACCCACAGCACCATGTCAGTTACTCACCCGTCAGCCACGGGCTATCTCCAGTCGTAGAATATCATTAGCGTTCTCTTTAATCTGTTCCCAGTAGGATCTAGGCGGTTGAGTCAGTCTTGTGTTGTATTCTTAATCACAACTTGATTGTTCAATTTTACCCTCTACTCGATCTGGTAGACTGGTAGTGGACATGACCTGGACTTTGGAGTTTGTTCATCCCAAACACTTCTATCTGTACGTTTAACCGCGGGTTAAGAAATCGGCTGATCTGACGGATGTTGACGTAAGGAAGCTGATCATCCACCGATTATTTCCTCGGGATCGGGTGAAAGGCAGATTACCGATGGCGTCCATTCGCGGTCTATATATTCGGTGGTGGGCGCATACGAGGGAGTTGGTTCCCATAGATCAAGCACAGGTCAGATAGTATCATCATCGTTGAAGGCGCTCATCCCCTCAAGGCAGGAGATGCTACTAAGGAGTCTATCAAGATGGTCGTGAATTGTTGTAGCTTCCACAGAGGGCGTTACAGAGCGTCAAGTACAGAGAGCTGTGGCTAATGAGCTATGGACTACAATAAGCGGGTCCATGAGTACCTAGTCTGCAGGTAAGCGAGTAATGCAAGCCTCTATTTACAATGCCTGACGTCCAGTAGCCAAGCCTCCCAGATTTGTCACTTGGGACACAGGAGTGGCAAGAGGGAAGGGACAACTTGCCTGATTCTCAAGGCTCTCGTCAGCACTGGTGTTTGACTTTGTTTACATTTTCATGGAAAATTGTAGTTCCTAGGGATCACCAGTGCAGTGACGAGGCAGAGCATACGTAGGTCAAATTTTAATGAGACCTACAGTAGTACTGTAAGCCATAGTAATGAAACCGATAAAGGAATATTAATAATCCGGTTTTATTCCTAATGCAGACTAGTATCTCTTGGTGGTGGGGCCAGAGAGTCACTCGAAGAGTGGAGGCAGTTGCACCAGTGTCGCAACGTACTGTATTGTAAGAACCCGCGCTAGTTGAACAAATGTTTGAGTAATTCTGCTCCCTGGATCATCAGGGAAAACCGGGCAGTAATCCAGAATCCGCCGATAAAATTGATGAGACGTCAGTTACCGTAGGTGCCCAACACGACTAAGGTTGGGGATCGTTCTTCCCAACATTCAGAGAGTGAGGTGGGTCCGAATACAACAAATAAACCAAGGGAGGTAGCCGAAGGTTGATACAGTACAGTAACTTCCTTCGATCCCTCTTCATTTCACATTTTGATGCACTCACTGGTAGACCGGATGCTTATTGATGGCTCGAAAGCTATCTTGAAGGAGAAAGTCAAAAGAGAGCTACAGTACGTCGCAAAACCGGTGCAACTGATCCACTCTCCGATTAACTTTTCTGCGGCTTGGGCCGAAACACACTAGTCTGTATTTAGAGTTCTTCCGGGAGTTGCGTATGTATTCTTTCGTACGTAGGTTACACAGTAATTTCAGTCATGTATTCACTTGTAAATCAGTATATCTGATACCCAGAGGCGAAGCTGAGGTGGGGCTTCATTTCACTTTTACTGGCAACTCATCACTTCATTGGTGGTGTGTCACTGGATGTGAAGTAGCGCCGAATGTCCCTTGGCATTTTTTAGACTCACACGGAAATCATGACTCCCTCCGCCTTGCCTGAAACCCTTGCTTGACCTGTGTGGTATACCAATCAATCCGACATGGTGTG